TTCGAGACCCACCTGAGCCAAAGTGAGACCCTGTCTCTATTAAAAAGAGAAAAATTAGCCGGGTGTGGTGGCATGCACCTGTAGTCCCAGGTACTTGGGAGGCTGAGGCAGGAGGATCGCTTGAGCCCAGGAGTGTGAGGTTGCAGTGAGCTACAATGACGCCACTGCATTCTACCCAGGGTGACAGAGTGAGACTCTGTCTCAAAAAAACAAAAAATTAGAGTTGTAATTGACAGGATGTGATGCTGGATCAATGGGGGGGGGAGGTAAGCAAAAGGAGGACATCAAGGATGATACCTGACTGATTTTTGGGTTAGTGAGTTTTTTGTTTCTGCGTAAATGGAAAGTTTAGGGGGTTCATCTGATAATAGGAAAGGGTTACCAGGTTTGGGGGCAGCTGAAACACTCTATTTTGAACTCGTTAAGTTTGAAAGAACTAGGAAACATTCAAGGGGGAGATGTTGGGCGAGCAGTTTAATGTACAGTTGACCCTTGAACAACGCAGGGCTTGGGGTGCTGACCCCACACAGTCAAATCCATGTATAACTTTTGACACCCCGAAAACTTAACTAATAGCTTACTCTTGACCAGAAGCCTTACCAATAGTATAAACAGTTTAAACATATTTTGTATATGTATTATATACTATATTCTTATAGTAAGGTTAGGTAGAGAAAAGAAAATGTTAAGAAAATCATAAGTAAGAGAAAATATATTTACTATTCATTAAGTGAATGGGGATCATTAGGAAGGTCTTCATTTTCATCATGTTCACATTGAGTAGAACAAGGAAGAGGAGGAATGGGGAGGAGGCTGGCCTTGCTGTCTCAGGTGGCAGGGTTGGAAGAAAGTTTCTATATACATGGCTCCATATAGTTCAAACCCATGTTGTTTAAGTGTCAACTGTACTTCTCTGATGGCACTGAGTGTAACTGCTGTGTGCTGTATGTCTGTCTGCATATCTCTGATTCAAATTCTTTGGGGAGCTGGGCAACACCAATTTTATCTTTGTATCCCCTACTGTACCTTGCACGTGAGCTCCAGTAAATACTTGCTGAGTGCATAGGTGGGAACATAATGCTCCACTGAAGATCTGCTGTGCCTGGCCTCTGCTGGCTAGGGTGGGGTAATACAGTGAAGGAGAGTGGGTTTTAAGCCCTTTGCTTCACGCTGTCTTTAGAAGTGACTTGTACCATGCTAACAGAAGTGACCAATGGCTGTGGCTTATTGTGTCTCACCCAGCATACATGAGAATCAGCCGGGTTACTGGTTTAAAATGCAGATTGGTAGAACCAGGGAAACCTGTATTTTTAACATGTTCCCCAAGTTATACCAATGTATGCTAAAACTGAACAGTGAGCTTATTCTCAGAGCATATGTTGGCATTTCTTGGGGGCTTTATGGGTTTTAATTTCCTGTTGAACATAGAGCATTCAAAGATGCTCTGTGTTCTTACCTCTTTCGTTCTCCTCTTTAAACAATCCTTTTTCCCCCTTTTTGTTTTTTTAAAACTAACCAGTAGTATCTAAGACTTGAGTCCACATCTTTGCTACTTTAGGAGAAAATTGAGCTTTGTATTTGAAGGGCTTTTTTTGGTCCTACTTCTTTTTTTTTTTTTGTCTTCTTTTCCTGTTTTGCAGTCCCATGAACGTGTAAGCAAGCGTCTGCATCAGAGGTTCCAAGCCTGGGTAGATAAATGGACCAAGGAGCATGTGCCCCGTGAAATGGCAGCAGAGACCAGCAAGTGGCTCATGGGTGAGGGGCTGGAGGGCCTGGTGCCCTGTACCACCACCTGTGATACAGAGACCCTGCATTTTGTGAGCATTAACAAGTATCGTGTCAAATATGGCACAGTATTCAAAGCCCCTTAACTGCAAAGCCAGAGCAGACAACTCGAGGGTGTGTGTGGGTGTGTGTGTGTGAGCATGTGCACTCACACACGTTGAAGAAACAAGGAAGATGCCTTTCAAGCCTCACTGGGCCTCTCTGGGACATGGCCACCTGATCTGTGTGTGGCTGGTGCAAATTGGCACCAAGTGGGCTACTTTTAAGAAACGTGAATACTTTATAAAGGTGGAGCTGGAACTTTTCCCAAGGGGGTTTAGGTATTAGCCTGCCCTGGAGGGGAAAGAAATCCATGCAAGCACAGAGACAAGCAGCTTGCTTGCACACACCAGCAGAGCTAAGACTGGAGTCTCCTGTGGCCTGACCTTCAATGAGGGAACTGGATGCTGTTCATATTTGGCTGGATGGAGGTGCTGGGGAAGGACTTAATGCTCAGATGGATTGTAACTGTGATGGTCACTGCTCCTCTCCTCTACCCCAAAAGGAAAAAAAAAACTGGATTCGATTTTTTTTTTTTTTCCTGGTCACCTGAGCACATTTAAGATCACCCATTAGGTTTTACCTGGGATCTGCAGTTTGGCTTTGGAATTGATCATCTTGTGGATTTGATTCCTGATGAATCCTTGCTGCCCACCCTTTCTCTCACCTTTGGTTCTCAACCTCAAGTTCAAATCAGCCATCCTTTTTAGCTCCCGTGGAACTGTTTTGTACCTGCTTCTTTACTAGTCTACCCTAGTGCCATCCACCAGCTTTACTCTCAGACACACACACACACACACACACACTTTTAACTTTTTCTTTTTTTGTAAATAATGTACATACTGTCAATTTTTTATTAAAAGAAATATGCTTTGATGTGCTAGCATAACTGCTCTAGCTTCTTGTGTACCATAGTACTATGTGGCTTCAGATTTAGTACCTATGAACAGATGTACAAGACATTTATTACACTTTTTACCAAAGGGAGTTACCATTGTAGTACTTTTGTGTAAAACTTGTCTTCCCCCCTTACCCTCAACTTTTTTTCTTTCTTTCGTTTTTTTTTTGTAAATAAATAAAGCTTGGTTCTTACTTAAGGAATAAACTCTCAACCCAAGTCCCTTGTCCTCACCAGAGAACTATTGTAAAGCAGGGTATTTGGCTTCAGTTCCTTATCCAGGGTACGAACAGGATTTTACTTTAAATAATTAAGTCACTTTCACTTGTCCCAAATCAAAATATTCCAAAATTTTAATATAGAATACTTCCTTTTTTTTAGTACGTTTTTTTCCCTTGTTCAGCTATTTGAAAATATTTTATATTTGGGTAAATTGTCAAGGTATGTAGTTTGTATTTCAATATATTTTTTCTTATCCTTATTGGGGATGGGGGTGAACAACTTAAATACCAAGCCAGTATTTGAAAGAAATGTGTATAAGGTGTGTGGTATAAATGGGGTAGGGAGGGAGAGGATTTGATACATTTCCTTAGTAATTGCACATGGGATATATATTTTTTTAATTACATAAATTTAAACTGGCAGGCATTTAAACGTGAATGATTAGGATTTTTATATGTGGTTAGCCTGGAGTTTCTAAACAAAGACCAATGGAGTCCTTCCCAGTACTCTGGTAGATTTTTCTCCAGCAACTATTACCCTAGTCTTATTTGTAACCAACAGTGTTTTATGTGGGTTTTGTTTTTTGTTTTTTTTTTCTTTTTTAATTAAAACAAATTTTTTGGCTCCTGGACCTTGAAAACACATGGCAGACTGCTCTGATTTTAAGCATTTTTGTTGTAGGCAGACCGAAGACTGTGGGCCACAGTATAGTATGGCAAAGTCTTGTGGGGAAGGGAGATTCTAGGGCAAAGCTGGGACAGTGCCTGACTTGGAGGTAGAGTGATAATGTGCTCAGTGAGGGAAGAGATCTTGAGGTGTTCTAAGCAACAATTCCCCTATTCCCTGGTGCTCCCTCAAGAAAGATGTTGACCTGACTACAGGAGAAATTGATGGGGTGTGACCAGGGGCAGCCCTAGCTCTTGCCCCCCCCCACACACACACACGTGTTAGCTCCAGAGCACCTGCCTGCAGCTCAGGATGATAGGGTTTCATGGCCGGTTCAGGAGAAAACCCCAGCCCACCAATGCAACCAATAGAAGAGGGAGCTTTACCTGCAGCCAGGGTTTTCACAAACAGCATTTTTATTTTTCTGCTGTCTGACATGTAAGCTCCAAGCTCTAAACCCAACCTGCATTATATACAGCAGAAAGTTATCTTTATTTTAAATCACATTTGGTATTCTGTACTTAGTCACTTTTCCATGTGATTGGCATTTGAAATGTTGTAAACTTGGTCAGTATTTCCATTAAAATATCAGGGCTAATGTTGTGTATATATTTTTTTCTTCCTAATGATTTTATAGACAAGGACTCTGGCAACCCCAGGAGAAAAAAAGTAAAGCTGCCAGTGGAGTACTAGGGATGAGAATGAAATTGGAGGTCTGTTTCTGGCATTAGGGCTTCCCTGGACTCTACAGACCTGTACGGTGAAATTACAGGGAAGATTCTATGGGAATCTTCAATGCTGTGACCATGATCTGCTATCTCAAAATCTTTGCAGAGTTTCTGGTGATGGGCAAGAATTGGCAACATACACATAAATTAAAACGTGTAACAGAGGAAGCTAGGGTCACTGGAGCCCATCCTCTCTGCTCTTTAACCCCATATTCTCCAATCAGTATGACAACACGCATCCGGGGCAGCCTGGCTCTTTCCGCGTTAAGCAGACACCAGTTTTCGTGTTCACGGATGTAGCCAGGGCCAGTGAGTGGTCTGTGATTGCTGCTTCAGAGGCTGGGTCTGCAGCAGCCAAGGTTCCTGCCCGTTCTACGGAATGGTCGGTCCTATGTCTCTGTCCCAGGACCTTCGGCGGCTTTAATCGTCAAATTTCCCATTTTATTTAGGGATTTATCCTATATCCAACTAGCTTGGACGAGACAGGAGAGCCTCCAAAGCGCAGCTTCTAGGTTTCAAATCCTGGCTCAAAGTTCAGACAGCAGCTGGGCTTCCAAGAGCCGCCGGTGTTGCAAGAAAAGCTGCCCGGGGCTGGAAGGCGCCCTTCAGATGCCGGAACCTTTGGTCTCGGTCGGTGGACCGCGCCGGCAATGCCAGGGCCTTCCGGGGAGAGGAGCTGGGGCGCGGTGATGGCGGGGGCGCCTCCTCTGAAGCACTGGCGCACCACGCTGGAGCGAGTGGAGAAGTTCGTGTCGCCGCTCTATTTTACCGATTGTAACCTCCGCGGCAGGTGTGGCCCCTCGTGTGGGGAGCCGTCCGGCCGCATCCGTGCGCCTCGGCCTTCCGGGGGGAAACCTAAGCTGCCGCGACCTGGGCCGCGGGGCAAAGTGCCCGCCGCGGACAGGGCGGGGGCCCGGGAGGAAGGGGTAGGGGGCGGGATGGGCTGTGGAGCTGCCCGGCAGCCCTCTCGGCGGCCGATCGAGGGAAAGCGCGTCCCCACCGGCCGGCTGGCCCAGGAAAAGGGGAGGCTCGAGCGCGCGCCCACCGGCTCCTCCCGCCCAGGCTCTTCGGAGAAAACTGCCCTGTGGCCGCGCTCTCCAGCTTCCTGACGCCCGAGAGGCTTCCCTACCAAGAGGCAGTCAGGCAGGACTTCAGCCCCGCGCAGGTCGGCTGCAGCTTCGGACCGACGTGGGTAACACCGAGCGGGAGGGAGGGGCTAGCGGGCCTAAGGGAAGGCCACACCCCACTGCCGGCACCCTACCCAGCCCCGGCCACGCCTTTTTTGTTGGCCACCTGCCCTAGACAGCTACAAGGGGTGGAGCAGCACCTTCTGCTGGGAACAGCACCCTGGTCCCTCAGAGTCTTGAGGGGAGAGTTTCCATCTTCCCATCCCCGCCGTCTGCACACCCTTTAGGAAGGGCACCCGATGTCGGATCATGGACCCCTGACTTCTCTGCCTCTTTCCCTCACCTTGCTGCCCAGCCCTTGTTCTATCTTGTGGCTCAAAGCTGAGACCTTTTTGATGCTACAGATTCTTGGAGAAAGCCTCAAGCTCTTGCTGACCTTTTAACCCAAGGAAGTATTTCAGGACAGGGTTTCCACCTCTCGGTCATCACAAGGGCTCTCTTGCAGATGGTGGACCTGCTGGTTCCGGGTGGAGTTGACCATCCCAGAGGCGTGGGTGGGCCAGGAAGTTCACCTTTGCTGGGAAAGTGATGGAGAAGGTCTGGTGTGGCGCGATGGGGAGCCTGTCCAGGTGAGGATCCCTACCCTAAGGTCAGGTGTCACCACTGTTCAGCCCTCGTCTCTGGTGAACCACAGCTGAGTGGCTCTGTCTGCAGAGTGATATCAGGATTTCAGTACTGGGGAAGTTGCCACTTGGGCTTCTGTGTAATGGGTCCCTAGTTTTCAATAAACCAATTTTTGTTGTATGTAATTCATGCTTATGGGGAAAATTGTTTCAAACAGTTCTAGATAGTAGGAAGTAAAAACTTTAAGTCTTCCCCTGAAGTAATGAATCTCTCCCTACCACCCTATCCCATTCCCCAGATATAACCACTGTTAAGTGTCTTGTTCATGCATTCAACCATATCAGGTTTAATCCTTATAATCCTTTGTGGTAGGTCTTTATGCCCACTTACAGATTAAGAAACTGAGATATATCAAGGTTAGTTAGTTTACTTGCTCAGGTTTACACAGCTTCCATTTCAAATCAGACTGACTCTCAATCTGGGGTTAGGACTGTTCTTCCTGTGCTAAAAGAAGGCAGAGCCATTCTCTCCCTCTGTTCTCTGGCTCAGCACATGTCACATGGTGTTTATTCTGAGCTAGACCCTGTACTAAGCACTGGGGATGTAGTGGGGAATGAGGCAAACCTATCCCTGACTTTACAGAGTTTCCCTTCAGATACTTATTCAGGAGTGCAGAGGCCACCAGAAGCCACACCCGGGCCTCCTAACTCCTGTCCATGGCCCTTAAAGACCATGGGCTTTTCCACTGGTAAACAGGTATTATTTGGTGGTCATGGTGCTAGCTGCTCTGGGAGGTGGGGCACCTGCTATCAGGGGTCTCTGATTTGTTGAGCTTGGCCCCGCTTGGGAGAGAGGACCCAGAGCTGGGGACCAGGTGGAGAGGTCTGACTTTTCTTGGTTTACACTTCACCCAAACTGTTCAAAGGCCTCAGGCCCCATCTTTCACTCCACTCCCTGCCAGGGTTTGACCAAAGAGGGTGAGAAGACCAGCTATATCCTGACAGACAGGCTGGAGGAAGGAGACCCCCGAAGGTGGGTGAGTCCCTGTGCGCTGGTCTACCAATACTGTGGGGAAGGGGTGCCAGCAGGCAAGGAGCTGAGACCTAGAGTGATCTCAGAAGTACCCCACCTCTAGCACAACCATCCTCAGATCTCACAGTTTGTTTTTAGAAAGCGTGATTTTTTCCTAACTATAAAAATAATGTTTGCTTTATTGTGGTAAATACAGAAAACTCAAAGAAGTAAGTAACTGCTATTATCCCACCACCTAGAGTAGAGATGACCATTATTAACATCTCAGCATTCATGTTCTTAGTATTTCTTTCAGGCATAGTTTTTACTAGTTGAGATCGTATTTCTTTGATATTTCGCATCCTGACTTTCCACATTCCATGTTATACCATGGGCATTTTATGACACCATTAAAAACATTTCTTAGACATTAGTGTATTTTATATTTTATTGAACACTGTGTTTGCGATGTCTCCAGACACTGGGAATATCGTGTTGAATGATGTAGTTCTTGACAGCAAAGGGAGACAAATCTGCTCATATAATTACAAAACTGATGAGGGCCCTGAAAGAAAATTCTGGGAGCTAGATAGGAGGAATCTGTTCTAGACTTAGCGGAGGGGTAGGAGGAGGGTCGGGAAGGCTTCCCTGAGGAAGTCTGAGTAGAGCGGCACCACAGCCTCCCAGGCTTCTCCAGTGAAAGGCCCACCCATGTTGACTGATGGATCTAGGGGTCTAGAAGGTCCAGCCTGGGAGATCCAAAGGTGCTTTTAATATGCAAAGAGGGTTTCCAGACCAAGGCAGTGCTCTGCAGAGACAGCTTGGAAAATAGAAGGCTAAACAGCAGTGTAATTCACACAGTTCCACACTTAGTTACTTATTTTCCGTGACTGAGGCAGACCACTCATCAGCAGGATTCAGTCTGGTGTTTCTACCTCCCGGCCTGTGTGCACAGCTGACACTGTGGGGTCCTCTGGGGGGTGGATCCTGGAGGCGAATGGGGAGGGGTCCGATGGATGCCTCCTGGATGCTCCCTCCCCAGGTCCCCAGAGTCCTCTGCCAGTTCCTTGACCTGAGGCTGCCTCCTCGTGTTTGTAGCCTGACCCTGTACGTGGAAGTGGCCTGCAGTGGGCTCCTGGGGGCTGGGAAGGGAAGCATGATTGCAGCCCCTGATCCCGAGAAGACGTTCCAGCTGACCCGGGCCGAGCTGGCCGTGTTCCACCGGGATGTCCATAAGCTCCTGGTGGACCTTGAGCTGCTGCTGGGCATAGCCAAGGTACTCGACACCCCCGCTCTCCCCATCACCCCCTAGATCCCTGCTCTAGGCTGGTTGTTTCTTGGGTCAGATAAGTGGGACTCAGAATCCATAGCAGGAAGAGGGTTCCTGCCTGAGGGTTGAGAGGATTTTCCTGTGTAAAGGGGAAGTGGAGCCGGTGCTGAGCAGGGGCCAGCAGGAGCAAAGGGGTAGAGATGGGGGCATTCTGCTGAACACACTTGGGAGACCCCCCAGACCCTAGCTCTGGAGGCCGTGCTTGAGAAGGGGCTTAAGGGGCAGAACCTTGTTGCAGGGTCTCGGGGAGGACAACCAGCGCAGCTTCCAGGCCCTGTACACAGCTAACCAGATGGTGAATGTGTGTGACCCTGCCCGGCCTGAGACCTTCCCCATGGCCCAGGCCCTGGCATCCAGGTTCTTTGGCCAACATGGTGGTGAAAGCCAACACACCATCCATGCCACAGGGCACTGCCACATTGATACAGGTAGGCCGACAGGTGGTTGGGTTGGCTGGAGAGGCAGGAATGCCCTTGAATCCCTGCTTGTGCCTTAGAAGCACTGCATGATCCTCAGCAAGTTCTTGCTCCTCTTGGGCCTCAGTTTTTCCCATCTGTATGGAGCTGGGGGACTGGACTGTGGGCTTTGTTAGCTATGGCTTCATTTGTTCTTTTGACAAAATCTGATGCCTCATGAGGCTCCATGCTTTTAATAGATACTGGGGGGTAGGATTCCAGAGATTGGTGATCGTAGAATTGGCAGGCACGGTTGGTACCACGGTGAGGATAAGTGCGGGGGGCTAGAGAGCCCAGAAGAGTCACCAGCTGGATTAGGGGGATTCCAGAGAGGCTTCCTGGACAAGGTGACCTTGAACTGAGCAAGAATGGGCAGGAGTTTGACAAGGGTACCCAGGTCCTCAGAGAGGAGTGATGTGGAATTATTGAGATGGGGCCTCAAACGCAGGGGGTGGGTTTCCTGGGGAGCATCAGGAGTTCGATTTTGAACCTGAAGAATCTGCAGTGTCTGTGAGGCTTATGAGAGCGCCACGTGTTTAGCAAGCTCCCCAAGGTATTGAGCGTGATGCAAGTAAAGTTTCCGAATCACAGAACAAGGGCTTCCTCCTGTGCTGTGCCAAGAGGTGGGGTAAGGTGTGGGGGTTCTGGGCTGGTAAGGAAGGAACTGGTAGGCCAGACAGGTCCATCCGGGGAGCTGTGCCCCGTTCCAGGGTATCCTCAGCACGTGCAAGGGCAGAGTAATCCCTGCTGCCTCCGATGGGATGCTCTGGAGGGCGTCCAGCCTCAGACTGAGGCTGTCCCACGGCCAGGGGCCTCCGTTTCCTGACCCGTGAAATTGACCCTGCCGGCCTCCTTTCTCCATTTCTTCCTCCTCTCCTGCAGGAGTGGTTCGAAGTGACGGCTTAGGAAGGATGCCACAGGGTTTTCCAGAGTGAAGGGGACGGGACGGGGAATAGGTGACCGACCCTAGGCCTGGTCAGGATTCCGGGGCAGGGCTGGGGCTAGAGACCTGTCAGGACCTTGCCTCTCCCTCCACCCCCCACCCCCCACCCCCATCTAGCCTGGCTCTGGCCCTTCAAAGAGACCATAAGGAAATGTGCGCGGAGCTGGGTGACAGCCGTGCAGCTCATGGAACAGAACCCTGAGTTCATCTTTGCCTGCTCCCAGGTCAGAGGGACAGCGGTGTGGGGGCAGGGGAGGCACCTAGCCCTTCCTGGGGCTCAGTAGGCTCTGAGGGCTTCTCAGGCCTGAGGGGCAGGTCTGTTCCCCACCCTCAGCCACTCACTGGGCCCCAGATGCTCGGCCCTGGGTGGGGTCCTTGTCACTCCTGGCTCAGGTCCCACCCCGTCTGCCCCCCAGGCACAGCAGCTCGAGTGGGTGAGGAACCACTACCCCGGTCTGCATGCCCGGCTCCAGGAGTTTGCCTGCCGCGGGCAGTTCGTGCCTGTGGGGGGCACCTGGGTGGAGATGGTAAGTGTATTGGCACCTCCTCAGCCTCGGTCCATACGGTCATGGCCTTCCCTCATGTGGCCCAGGCCCCTCCTCGGCCGCGTGGTGACCTTCTGCAGGCCATTCACACCCTGTCTCTGGCAGGGCTCGTTAGTCCCTGGAGCCCCAAGGCCTGAGAGTCCAAGGGCGGGGAGGGTCTCCAGCACCACAGCAGGCTGTCTGCGTGGCCGGTCCTGGGCACCTCGCTCAGGCAGATGGACAGTCAGGCCTGACTCGAGGAGAGGGACACTTCCTGGGACCCGGCTATAACTCCTTCTCCTGCGGGGAATGGGGCTGGCCTGAGCTCCTGCCTCCCTCTTCCCTCACTGCCAGGACGGGAACCTGCCCAGTGGAGAGGCTATGGTGAGGCAGTTCCTGCAGGGCCAGAACTTCTTTCTGCAGGAGTTTGGGAAGATGTGTTCTGAGGTAGGCTGGGAGCTGCTGCACCGGGCCGTGGGCAGGGAGCGCTGAGGGGCTGAGGCCGGGTGGCTCCGCCTGAGCTCTGCTTCCCAGCCGCCAAGGGCCCTCTTCCCTCCAGTTCTGGCTGCCAGACACGTTCGGCTACTCAGCACAACTCCCCCAGATCATGCGTGGCTGTGGCATCAGGCACTTTCTGACCCAGAAGTTGAGCTGGAACTTGGTGAACTCCTTCCCGGTGAGCAGAGCCAGCGGGGTCAGGGTAGAGTTGGCCTCGGCCCCACGTGGCCCATTCACCTCTCCCCAGGCTTATTTGAGGAGTCCCGGACAGACCACCAAACCCCCACGCAGAGAGGATGGGCCTCCAGCAAGGTCGCACGGCAGGCAGGGGCAGGACCGAGTTTGCCTCAGCCCTGACTCTGGCCGTTCTCCCTGCCTCTGTTTCCCTACCGGTAGCACCATACCTTTTTCTGGGAGGGGCTGGATGGATCCCATGTACTGGTGCACTTTCCACCTGGCGACTCCTATGGGATGCAGGGCAGCGTGGACGAGGTGAGCGGATACTTAATGGCGGGGGTGGGGGCAGGCTGGAGAGGGCTGGCCTGTCCTAGGCTGACCCTCACTGACCTGCCCCTACCTGTCCAGGTGCTGAAGACTGTGGCCAACAACCGGGACAAGGGGAGGACTAACCATAGTGCCTTCCTCTTCGGCTTCGGGGATGGGGGCGGTGGCCCCACCCAGACCATGCTGGACCGCTTGACGCGGCTGGGCAATACCGATGGGCTGCCCAGGTCAGGCCGGGCCTCCAGTAGCCCTCAGCCCTCCTTTACCCCAGCCTCGGCCTTGCTGTGAGCCCTGCCTTCCACTCAGACAGTGGCCCAAGCCCGCCCCTGGGCCTTGTCCTGTTCTAGTCCTGGACCATTGGCTCCTGCAAACTCTCACCCTGGGGGTGGGCTGGGGGAAAAGCCGAGGGTGGCAAGAGGAAGAAGGTTGAATCCACTGGAGAGAGCAGCTCTCCTGGGTTGTCTAGGGCTGGCATTGTGTAGATGGGGAGCTTTCTGGAGTAACTCTTCTCTGTTGGGACTGATCTGTTGTCTGCTCTGGCGTAGAAGAAGGGTAAGCCAGGTCGCCCCCATGGCTGGGAGGCCCAGGCTTGTGGTTTCCCTCAGGGTGCAGCTGTCTTCTCCGAAGCAACTCTTCTCAGCGCTGGAGAGTGACTCGGGGCAGCTGTGCACGTGGGTCGGGGAGCTCTTCCTGGAGCTGCACAATGGCACCTACACCACCCATGCCCAGGTCAGGGGCGGGTTGCAGAGTCGAGCAGGGAGCGTGTGCCCTTGATCTGCAGAGGGTCAGAGAAGGAAGCAGGGGAGAAAGTCCAGCCCCGATCTGGGGGAAGAGGCTCGTGTTCCAAGGAGAAGCTTGTAGGAGAGAAATGCAAACTGGGTTGGTCAGGAGAGCTTGGAGGCAGGACTGAGCACCCCTAAAGAAAGAGGAGTTTGGGCTGAGGGGAGAGAGGGACGTCATTAGAGTCAGGTCACCTGCAAAAGGCCTTATCCAGGAGGCCCTGGGGAGCCATCGGAGGTCTGAGCAAGGGAGGGCTTTGGAAGGCATCTGGCGCATTTAAGCAGACTCCAGACTGATCTTCCCACCTGGGCTCAGATCAAGAAGGGGAACCGGGAGTGTGAGCGGGTCCTGCATGACGTGGAGCTGCTCAGTAGCCTGGCCCTGGCCCGCAGCGCCCAGTTCCTGTACCCAGCAGCCCAGCTGCAGCACCTCTGGAGGTCAGCCTGGCTTCTGCCTGCTACCACCCACCTGAGCTCTCACCCCAGATGCTTCTGTGGCTGTCCTTCCTGGCCTTTTCCATCCCTGCCCTTGGCCCCTGCAGGCTCCTGCTTCTGAACCAGTTCCATGATGTGGTGACTGGAAGCTGCATCCAGCTGGTGGCAGCGGATGCCATGTGCCACTATGCAGGTGAGGCTGGCAGCAGTCCTGCCACTCTCTCCAACCCCAGGACTGAGCCCAGAGTATCCCCTGTGGGACACTCAGGGCTCATCCCCGACCCATCGCCCACCCATGACCGGCTAATCTCTCCTCAGACATTCGTTCCCATGGCAATGCACTGCTCAGCACTGCAGCCGCGGCCCTGTGTGCTGGGGAACCAGGTCCCGAGGGCCTCCTCATCGTCAACACGCTGCCCTGGAAGCGCACTGAAGTGTTGGCCCTGCCCAAGCCCGGCGGGGCCCACAGCCTAGGTATGAGCTGAGGGAAGGGTCGCTATTACCTCAGGAGGGATTGAGACCAGATAGACGAGGTCAGGAACACCCCTGGGGATCTCTGCCTTGGGGTGCCCTAGGCTGGAGTATAGTAGCCACATCCTCCATCACCCTCACCCCTACCTGAGCGAGGTTCCAGAAAGGTCAGGAGACTGCACTGATGCCTAGACCTCACCCCCAGCCCTGGTGACAGTGCCCAGCATGGGCTATGCTCCTGTTCCTGCCCCCGCCTCACTGCAGCCCCTGCCGCCCCAGCAGCCTGTGTTCGTAGCGCAAGAGGTGAGTCCCAGCAGGTCCTGCGGGGCAGGAACTGTCCTGGGGTGCTCCTAACAACCTGGGGGTCCTGAGCTCCAACCTGGAGCAAGTGGCAAGGTGGGGGTGGGGTGGGGATGGGGGTGAGTTGGCTGTGGGAAGCTCCTACAGACTCAGCCTCACGGCCCCCTTTCACCGAGACTGACGGTTCCGTGACTCTGGACAATGGCATCATCCGAGTGAGGCTGGACCCGACTGGCCGCCTGACGTCCTTGGTCCTGGTGGCCTCTGGCAGGTGCCAACTCCTCACTGTCCTTTCCCAGTGCCTCACGAGTGGGTCCCAGATCCCGTTTCCTCTGTCTCATGGCCACAACACTGCCCACGGCAGCCCACAGTGGCTCTGGGCTGGGACCCACACATAGAACAAGGCAGGGTGGGCTAGGGGTCCTTGTCCCCTGGGGCCTGTTTACTCTGTCCCACCCCACTAAGCGTGGCTGGAGAGAGCAAGCTGTACGGTTGCAAAGCACCAATCCTTACGTCTTTCCAGGGAGGCTGTTGCAGAGGGTGCTGTGGGGAACCAGTTTGTGCTGTTTGATGATGTCCCCTTGTACTGGGATGCCTGGGACGTCATGGACTACCACCTAGAGACACGGTATGGGTGGGGCAGGACTTGGGGGTGGTGGGGCAGTGGGAACACAAGCCCCCTGGCTTAGTGCCTCCCACCCCCACCCCATCCACAGGAAGCCGGTGCTGGGCCAGGCAGGGACCCTGGCAGTGGGCACTGAGGGTGGCCTGCGGGGCAGCGCCTGGTTCTTGCTGCAGATCACCCCCAGCAGTCGGCTCAGCCAGGAGGTGGTGCTGGATGCTGGCTGCCCCTACGTCCGCTTCCACACTGAGGTAGCAGGGCCAGGGTGGTGGTGGTGATCTTCCCCAGAGGCACCTCGTGAGAAGGAGCCAGCCCCAGGCCTGTGTGTGTCTCTCCCTTCCCTCACCCCCACCTTCCATCCCACCCCCAGGTGCACTGGCACGAGGCCCACAAGTTCCTGAAGGTGGAGTTCCCTGCCCGTGTGCGTTGTTCCCAGGCCACCTATGAGATCCAGTTTGGGCACCTGCAGCGGCCCACCCACTACAACACCTCTTGGGACTGGGCTCGATTTGAGGTCTGACATTGCAGGGGATGGGGGTGGGCTTGGACTCCTCCCTGGCTGGAGAGAGACTAGTTGTGTGGTGTGGGGTGGGGAGGAGGAGGAGGATCAACATTGCTGCTTCCTAACGTGTGCCAGGCGTTGTGCTAAATGCTTTCCACTTAGTTTGATACTTGCGACCATTCAGTGGGTAAGTACTATTATTTATCCCCATTTCACAGATGAGGAAACTGAGGCTTAGGCAGGTTGGGTGGCATGCCCAGGGCCTCCTAGAGTGGGAGCTGGAATTCAATCTTGTGGTTCCAGAGCTTGTTCTCACCCTAGTGACAGGAGCTGTGGAATTTGGGAGCACAAGGAGGGGCATGGGGCCACCAAGTGGGTCTCGGATCTGCCCTCCAGGTATGGGCCCACCGCTGGATGGATCTGTCAGAGCACGGCTTCGGGCTGGCCCTGCTCAACGACTGCAAGTATGGAGCGTCAGTGCGAGGCAGCGTCCTCAGCCTCTCGCTGTGAGTGGGTACCGAGCAGGCCCGGGAGCTGGCGTGGCGATGTGGGTCTTCCTGGGGTGGAACTGCAGCAGCTTCAGCCCAGGCCATACCCACCCTCCTCACCTCAGCTTGCGGGCGCCTAAGGCCCCCGACGCCACTGCTGACATGGGACGCCATGAGTTCACCTATGCACTGATGCCACACAAGGGTGAGTGAGTGCTGGAGATGGCGGGGCCCTCTTGCAGCCCTAGACACCTCTGCCCTTCTCTGAGCACAAACCCCAGCAGCCTGGCCCACCCTCTGCCCCCTGTAGGGGTTTTTGGGGGTAGCTCCCATTCTCCATCAGCATCACTTTCCGGTTGTACCCCAGGCTCCTTTCAGGATGCTGGAGTTATCCGTGCTGCCTACAGCCTCAACTTCCCCCTGTTGGCGCTACCAGTCCCGGGCCCAGCGCCCGCCACCTCCTGGAGTGCCTTTTCCCTGTCCTCTCCTGCCGTGGTGTTGGAGACTGTCAAGCAGGCAAGGGGCGGGGCGAGCCGGGGGAGGGGCGGGGTTCCGTGCTGAGCCCGCCCCAGCCCCGCCCACCGCCCGCCTCCCTCCGCAGGCGGAGACCAGCCCCGAGAGCCAGACCCGCGCGCTGGTGCTGCGGCTGTATGAGGCCCACGGCAGCCACGTGGACTGCTGGCTGCACACCTCGCTGCCCATTCAGGAGGCCATCCTGTGAGTCGCGGCGCGGGCTCGGGGCGGGCGTAGGAGTCCCACCCTCACAGAGCCCTCACGGCCCCTCCTGTTCTCCAGCTGTGACCTCCTGGAGCAGCGAGATCCTGCTGGCCACCTGCCCCTTCAGGACAACCGCCTGAAGCTCACCTTTTCTCCCTTCCAAGTGCAGTCCCTGTTGCTCGTACTTCAGCCTCCACCAGACTGAGTCCCTAGCGGTGGGGTTTTGTTTGTGGAAGGGTGGGAGGCTTTGGGGACTCCTCATTGCTGCCTCCCCAGCCTGAAGCACGGAGCAGTCACCTCTTGTGTAATAAAGCCTCAGATCAGGAACCATGCTGGTAGCCCCTGCTAACTCCCCATAGGGTCCATCCTCAGGCTTGGGGGTGGGGGGAGATCTCTGTGTGTGCAAGGTCTGGGGTGCAGCTCCCATGAGAGATTGGGACCTCGGGTGACCAAAAGCTGGCTTGGAGACCATGAGATAATAAGTTCCTCCCCTGTGTGGGACTGGAGAGGAGGCTGGGAGGCTGGGTTCTGGCTGGATGGGGGAGCAGCCACAGGCCCTAAGAATCCTGGACTGGAGGAGCTTAGGATCCTGGGCTGCCTGGCCAGGGTCTCCGTACCACCTCTAAGGGGCTGTCCCTGCAGAGGCGGACTGTCCTCTGATAGCCAGAGCCTTGAGGTCTGGGATGGGGGTTCAGCTTGCCTTGCTGAGGAAGTAGGCCTCCTGTTCCCAGAGCCAGGCAAGCAGGCCCTTCCAACCTGGCCACCTCAGACTTTGTGCAGCCAACCCAAGAAGTGCCAATAAGTTCACATTTATTGGTTTATAAAAAATACAGCATTTTTCACATGGGCTTTAAAAATATGGAAGGTTGGGTACAATTAAAAACATCCCAGTTGTGCAGGGAACAGCCACTGGGCCTGAAGCATACGGCCCCCTTGAGATGCCGCCTGCTTCTAGGAATTCAGACAGGCCCCCAGGTTCGGGGCAAGACGGCAGGTAAGCAAGGAGACCCTCCTGCTAAGAGGCTGAGGTCCCCTCCGGTTCCAAGGGTGGAGCATCAGCCTTAATCTTCCGAGATCTGCGGTGGCCTGGGCGGAAGCAGAAAGCAGGTGAGAGGATTAGCTCAGACTCCAGGCCGGAGCTGCCCCGACGGCCTCCCTCCCACCTTTGTCCATGGGGTCCCGCACCGCCATCCCTTCCTCTCCTGAAGAGCCAGTGTCTGTGGTGCCCCTTCCCTCCCCAGAGGCGGGTGCTGAGGAAAGCCCACCAGGGGTGGCCTGTCGCCCCTTCCTCCTCCCTTTCTCAGGGACTGTGGGAGCTTCTGAGTCCTGATGGAGGCTGGTCCCCTCAGGCTGCTGGGGTGCAGTCTTCTCAGGAAGGTCTCTCCAAGCCCTTCGTGTCCTGGAAGGGGCCTTGTTTGGAGGTGGAGGGTTCTGGGTAGAGGAGACACGGGTCTCTGAGGCGCTCAGAGAGCAGTTCAGAGATTGACTAGGGCCACCATGCCCCTGCCCCTTCCCAGGTGCAGCAGGGCAGGAGAGGGCTGCGCGGGAGCAGGCCATACCTTCGCTCTGTCCTCAGGACTCGGCCCTGTTGCCTTGGATTTCTTGTGGCGGGACTTGCGCCCTGCAGGACACTGGTGCTATGGTTGGAGGGTCCTATAGCCCCGACCCCTGTCTCCAGACTCCCACTCTGCCTGGGGGTACCCAGGGCTGGAGGGGTGGTGGAGGAGAAGGGTGCCGGAGCCCTGGCAGACAGGAAGTCCTTTCTGTTCTCTTAGCCTATTACATTAAGAGTAGCTTACCTTTGGGTGCCAGGGGTCCAGGATCCCCCTAAAATCGAATGAGGACAGTTCAAGAATCACCCTGGGTTGGGCAGGGGCAGTGTTCCTTGTAGAGGCAGGATTCAAACACACATCCTTCCAAATCAGTACAGCTCCACCTAGGAAGCCTGTCCGCTGGAGGGACGCAGCCTGGGTGCATGAGACCCATCCCCGCCCGCCATGGGATGGGGGAGAGGGACTGAGAGAAGCTGTGTCTAGGGTACAAGGGGAAGGAAGCTGGGACCTCCTCCAATGTCAAGAGTCAACAAAGCTGCCTGGCCCATGGGCTGCTCTACTGGCTCTATTGCCTTGCCCCTGGGATCCTGGGACTCAAAGGATCAGAGGGACACAGCATGGGGAGGACTTGGACCCTCAGGAGCATTGTGACCCTTGGAAGGCCTCCACAGGCCCTAGGCATCTCCACCTGGAGAAGACCCCAGCTCCTACCCTGCTGCAACCACAGGTCTCCACCCCACCAGTTTTCCTGGGGTCTCCATTTGCCTGTGTGAGCAGTGGGGCCCAAACCTGGAACCAGATGGTGCGGCCGTGCCGGTCCCGCAGGGAGCTCATGCCTGGCACGCCATAGCACCGCAGCCAGGCTCGAAAGGCAATGAAGTCCTCCTCCCCACTCTCCAGCCCGTAGCCTTTGCCCCCTGTGGGACAGAGGAACGGGTGCAGATCAGAGGGCAGACTCAGGGAGGAGTGGGGAGCCTGGTTAGAACTGGCTCAGGCCTCAGCCACATAAGCTGATGCACTGAGTCAGGGGCCATGCTCTCCCCCTCCAGCTGTGACTTCGGCTGGTGTCTTCCCCCTCTGGGCCACGACTTGCCCATCCTGGACTGGGTTTAAGAATCCTTCTGGCTGGGCGCGGTGGCTCACGCCTGTAATCCTAGCTCTCTGGGAGGCCGAGGCGGGCGGATCGTTTGAGCTCAGGAGTTCGAAACCAGCCTGAGCAAGAGCGAGACCCCATCTCTACTAAAAATAGAAAGAAATCAATTGGAGAACTAAAAATATATAGAAAAAATAGCTGGGCATGGTGGCACATGCCTGTAGTCCCAGCTACTCGGCAGGCTGAGGCAGGAGGATCGCCTGAGCCCAGGAGTTTGAGGTTGCTGTGAGCTAGGCTGATGCCACGGCACTCACTCTAGCCTGGGCAAAAGAACGAGACTCTGTCTCAAAAAAAAAAAAAAAATCCTTCTCCTGGCTGTCTCATGAGCAGCTTGGGGGAAACAGGCCTAGTCCATCCCCCAGTTGGGGAGTCAGGCCCAGAGAGGGACAACGACCGCCCTGGGGTTACACAATATACTGAAGCAGAGGCTGTTGCCATCTTTGCCTCCCCAGGCCTCACCCAGCTGGACCACTTCCTTGGGCACTGAGTGGCACAGCTCCAGCAGGTCCGGGTTCTGCAACTTGGCCCTGATCTTCTGGCTCAGGGTCAGCTCTGGGCTCTGAGGAAGGGCAAGGGCAGGACCTTGCTGTCAGCATAGAGCAGGGCCACGCAGAAGGCACATCTCCCCTCTGAGCTCGGTAGGGCCTTAGGCTGTCCATCCTCCCCGTCGCCTCCCGTTGTGGACCTAAGCTGGAGACATTTGGCTCAACCCATCCCCTCGCCAGCCCATGTGCACCATCCCTCTCTGTACCCTCACCGGCTTGCGCTGCTGCAGGGCCTCCAGAACCGTTCGGGCCTTCTCGAAGGGGGGGATCCTCAGCCTGGCATGGGGTGGGGACAGGGAGCCTTGCTAAGCAGTGGGGAAGGTGGGCACACCTGGCCCACCCCTGCCCTCGTGCCCACCGCCTGCCTGCTGACCGGAACAGGATCTCTGCTCGCAGATAGTTGCCAATACCATTGAAGAACCTCTGGTCCAGGAGGGCCTCGCAGATGGGCCGGTCAAAGGCTTTGTCCACTAGGTTTCGTAGCACGTTTTCCCTGGAGGGACACAGCCTGGGTGCATGAGACCCATCCCGACCCTCCATGGGATGGGGGAGAGGGGCTGAGAGAACTTGTTTCTGGGTGCAAGGGGAAGGAAACTGGGAGTCCCAGTTACCCCTCTGTTTGCCTCAGTTTTCCTATCAAGTGGGAGTAATATGGTATTTAAACTCACTGTGAAAGGTGAAAAATACTGATCAAAAGCAATGTGTTCAAGGGAACACACGAGTCTGTATGTGTGGTTGTGTGTTTATCACCAAAGTGCCTCAGACTCCTTAGGAAACTTGAGAACAAGGTGATCACAGGACACCAGACATGTCTGCAGTCTGGAACTCCCTGTCTAGGACTTGTGACTTGGTGACCACATGTGGATTTGTTTTTCTTTTTTGAGACAGAGTCTTGCTCTGTCGCCCGGGCTAGAGTACAGTGGCATCATCATAGTTCACAGCAACCTCAAACTTCCGGCCTCAAGCGATCCTCCTGCCTCAGCCTCCCAGAGTGCTAGGATTACAGTGTGAGCCACCACGTCTGACCCACATGTGGATTTGACATTGGTGGGTTCCACTCTCCTCAAGAGCCTGCAGACTGTCCGGCTCTGTGCAGCAGGTGTGTAGTGGCGAGTCCCGGCTAGCGAGTGCCCCAGCAGCCCCCACCCCACCGCCAAAGGTCATGGGTCTCAGCTCACCACCATGAAGAGGAAATGCATCTCGTTTCTTTGTGGAAAGGGTCATGGCAAGAGTGACTGAGTGCGGGGCGTGAGGAGAGTGTGAGGAGGGGGCCAGGAGTCAAGTTGTGGGGTACAGGTGTGAGTGGAAGGCTAGCCTGGGTGGTGCTCTGGTCCCTGAGGGGAACAGATCGCTACACGCCCCGGCTGCAGGAACAAGGAAACAGCCAAAGTGCTCGTTGTGAGAAAAGCTGCCAAGCCAGCTGGCAGGGTTAGCTCGTGGCCTGACTCCCTAGGAAGGATGAAGTGGGGGAATCCAAGACCGCGGACAGACGTCTCCTGGGGGAGGCACTCGGGGCTCAGGCCTGGGAAGGCCAGGAGCCAACTGGCTTCTGTGGCATCAGAGACGCCCCTGACCTACCCAACAGGCAACTAAGTCTCCAAAGGACCAACTGGAGGCGCAGTGACCCCCAGGAAGTGGGAACTGTCCAAGTCTACTCCAGGCCTTTGCATCCGTGATCTTGCCAGTTTCCGCCACAGCTCGCAGGGCTGGCTCCAACGGCACCTCCCCTGCGCCCCCTCCCCCACCCGGCCAAAAGTCATTCTCTGCTTCCTTGGCCTGTGGGATTTTTCCGCAGGCCGTGTCTATTTGGATTCCTCTCGTTTGTTTCTGTGCTTCCCTACCTTGTCTGAGCATTGGCTCTGCGGGAGCAGGGACCACGTTCGTCTGGTCACTGCTGTACCTGCAGCACCTAGAGCAAGGCCTGGCATGAGCTGAGACTCGTACACGGTTCCTCTTCAGAGGAAAGGAAGTGGCTAACACTGTGGTATCTTAGGTGACCTGCATCCCATCCCAGGTGGGGCTGTCATACCCTCCTGCAGGCAGGGAGCAGTCACAGATGAGACTACAGGACACAGACCAGTGGGCAGGCAGCACATGCGAGACCACGAAAAACCAGGTCATCAGGCAGTCCTCGCCCCACCCTCTTGAAACAATTCCTACTCACGCTTTTTTTTTTGGACGGTCTGGCTCTGTTGTCCGGGTTAGAGTGCAGTGTCGTCATCACAGCTCACTGTAGCCTAGAACTCCTGGGCTCAAGCAATCCTCCTGCCTCAGCCTCCTAGGTAGCTGGGACTACAGGTGCGTGCCACCATGCCCGGCTCATCTTTTTTTTATTATTATTTTAGGTAGAGACGGGGCTCCCACTCTTTGCTCAGGCTGGTATTGAACTTCTGACCTCAAGAAATCCTCCTGCCTCGGCCTCCCAAAGTGCTGGTGCACTGCACCAGGCCCCGCCTTACTCCTTAGTGTGTTAAAACCCCTCCACCTTTCTTAGCCTCCTGGGGGCTCCCAGAGGCCGCGTGGGATTCTGGGTCCTCAGGGCGGTGCAGAAGCCAGCCTCCTTTGGCTCCTCATCTCTCCTCCCACATCAGTTTTGAATTTCCACGTCTGTTGGCTCAGGGAGCTGACCCAGGGCAGGGACACTGTCTTGGTCTACAGATCAGGGGACTGAGGCCCTGAGGGGGCTGGGACTCACACCTCATTGGCCAACAAGGCACTAACAGAGCCAGGTCTGGAGCCCAAGGCTGTGTTTATCCCACCTGGTGCTGGCCCTACCTGAACTGCTCGTACTCCAGCAAGACACAGGGCCCTCGGCCCGGCTGCCACTTGCCCCCAAGATCCCAGCGGCCGAATCGGCGGATGTCCACAAAGCACAGGGCGAGCCGGGGGCCAGGTGGAGCTGTGTAAAAGCGAAGATGGGCATGGGGTGGCAGCTCATCTCTGGGCACCAACTGGAAGGAGCCGGACATGCCGAAGCGGAAGACGAGGGCCAGTGGCTCCTGTGGGGGCTGGGCCCCAGGCAGAGGGCTCAGCGTCAGGCGCAGCTCCTTGCCGCGGGCTGAGGCCGAGATGCAGTAGGCACTGCTCTCAAAGGGCACCTCGGGGTTGCGGCTGATGGAAGACTTCTCCACACCCCCGCCAAACACCAGGCCCCGGCATGCCTCATTCACAAAGTGGCTGGCCAGGTGCAGCTCGGGGCCCTCAGGCATTCTGCAGGAGGGGCGGGTGGCAGGGTCCTGTGGGGGCCAGAGGACAGCAGGTTGAGCCAGGTGTGCCCCTTGTGAGGTAGGAATTGTCACCCCCATTTTACAGAGGAGAACTCAGGATCAGAGGGGGATGTGGCCAGCTAGACTGGTAGGAAAGTGCTGGACTGGCCACAGTCCCTGTCTTGCACCTCTGCCCTCTTCCAAAAGTGCTGGGACAGCCCAGGGCACCAGGAGCACAGGCTGGGGAGGGAACAGGCCTCTGTCCTGCTCATTAATACCTTCCTTCCACCGGCTACCACTGGTGCTTTTAGAGTAAAGTCCAAACCCTTGCTGGGCCCAGGCTGCTGTCACTCACTTGCTCTTTCTGTCTTTGCTCCCCATTTCCCTATCTGGGGGAGCAGCCCCCCTCCCACACACGTCGTCTTGTCTTCTCTTCCCGGGACTCCCACAGTCTGAAAGGCTATTGCTGTCTGAGGGCTGCGCTCCTACCCAGGGTGAGCTCTGCTCGCTCATCCCCCACCGCTTAGACGCGCCTGCTCTGTACACGCACAGATCAAAGCGAGGAGCCCAGCTTGCAGCCAGCCACGAGCCTGCCACCCCGCGCCGGCCGCGATCGGGTCAGGGCAGGAGCCCGGACAAGGCGGAGGGAATGCCACACGTGCGCCAGCGCCGGGAGGAGGGCGGGGCGCCGGGAAGGGCTCCCCAGCTCCGAGCACTGGTCGCAGGGAATCGGAAAAGCGCACATGAGCCCCTGGTCCCCAAGGAGCCGTACTCACGTCCTCGCCTTCGCCCTACCCCCTTTGCCACTTTCCTCTGCCCCCGGACGTTTCGGGATCGAAGGCGAAGATGTGCGTCGGATAGAGGGGGGCATTTAGCTACGGCAGACTCCGTTACCTCGCCCTCCGCCCGCTCAGCGCCGCGCGGACCAGGGTCCCGAAATGGTTCGATTTGCAGGAAAAAGTGAACATCCAGGTTCCGAGTTTTGCGAGGGGCGGTGCTCTATGCCCGCCGTGTCCACAACTGAGACTCTTGGTTAACTCTGGGCCCCTTCCTCCCCAGGGCCCTCGGATCCCATCGTATTCAGCCCCGCTGCGCCCGCCCGCATCCCCTATTTCCACCCGGCCTTCCCACCTCGCCCCGCCGGGTGGTACCTGCGCGCAGCAGGCTCGCCGCCAGGCTGCAGACACTAAAGGGTTAATGCCGGGGGGGCGGGCCGCGCCTAAAAGCACGCTGGGAGCGTGGGCTCCGCTCCTGCGCCTGCTGGGAATTGCAGTTTTTCGGGGAGGCCGCAGAGGCTGTTGGAATGGAGAACCCGAGCTGGGAGGCTCCAGGGTGTGGGCAGGCTTTGGGGCAGTCACCTGGCTGAGAGTTGGCGGAGGAACCTGGCTTCCCACGGACCAGCGCCGGCGGAATCTGGGTCAGGTCTGAGGCCCCAGGCCGCAGCTGTCTCTGTGGTTGGGGGAAGTCAACTGCAGCAATGTCCCGTGTGCAGCTGTGCGCAGGGCTTGCACAGGTGTGCGATAAACACAGGCCCTGGGGACCCGGCGGTGACCGTAAGCATCAACGCACAGACATAGCACATAAACATAACTGCCTGCGAGTGGGAAGTGCAACCAAGCAACAAAAAACAGGAGCCGAGAAGTAGAACCCACTTCAGATAGTTTTGTGGGGGACGGCCTCTCTGCAGTGACCTTCAGGCTCAGAAGTCAGGAGCCAGCATGCAAAAGGCCAGGAGCAGACAATAAGCGGGCGGAAGTTACCGCCAGTGCAGAGGGCCCCAGGCGAGAAAGAGATTAGCCCATTGACAGAACTTGAAAAAGTCCCGCATAGCTGGAGGTAGTGTGAGGAGATGAGGACAGAGAGGCAAGCACCTCCGGGTCAGGTCAGGTGAGCCCCTGGAAACCTCTGTCGGGAGTTTGCATGTTATTCCAAGTGTACGCCTGAGCCATAGCCATGTTTTTCCCCTCCTTCATACTGCTTCTGCTCCTTCCATCATCTGTTCATTCATTTATTTTAGCAGAAGTATTTGAAAGCAAATTATAAAAATCATGACATTCATCCCCAATACTTTAGCATGCATTTCTAAAACCCAGTTTCCAGGTCGGACGCAGTGGTTCATGCCTGTAATCCTAGCACTTTGGGAGGCCAGTGGGAGGATCGCTTGAGGCCAGGAATTCAAGACCAGCCTGGGCTACGTAGTGAGATCCTGTCTCTACAAAAAATAGAAAAAAATTAGCCAGTCCCAGCTGCTCGGGAGGCTGAGGTGGGAGGATCACTTAAGCCCACGAGTTCGAGGCTGCAGTGGACTAAGATGATGCCACTGCACTCCTGCCTGGGCGACAGCAAGACCCTGTCTCTAAAAAGTAAATAAATAAAAATAAAACCCAATTTCCTGCAAAGCCACAATACCTTTATCACACCTAATAAAGTTAATGATAACTTCTTAATATCACCTAACAGCTAGTCCACAACTTTCCCCAATTGTCCCCAAAATGTCTTTACAGTTGGTTTTTTAACACAATTCCAATCAAGGATTATATGTCTCTTTCATAATTTTTAATCTAGATGGAACCACCTCATTCCATAACCCCCCCTTTTTTTCTTTTGGAGACAGGGCCTCGCTGTGTTGTCTGGGCTACAATGCAGGGGTGTCCTCATAGCTCACAGCAACCTCACACTCCTGGGCTCCAGTGATCCTCCTGCCTCAGCCTCCTGAGGCTGAGACTACAGATGCCCAGCCCATCCCACCCTTTTCTTGGCGGGGGGGAGGAGTCATCATGATGCTGACCTTTCTGAAGAATCCAAGCCAGTTGTCCTTTGAGACAGATACTCCATCACATTCTGGATTTGTTTCAACGTTTCCTCAGTGTGTCATTAACTTGTTCCTTTATCCGTAATTTTTCCTGCACGCTGCCAATTAGATTTAAAGGCTTGCTCGTATATAGAGAGGAACACCTCCTAGGCGCTGTTCTGTACTTTGAATTGCAGCACATGAGCAGGTACCCAATAGCCGGTTGTCCCACTTGTGAGGCCGAAATCCATCAAGGTTGAGGCTGTAGCAGCCAAGCCTCTGTATTGTAAAAGTTATGTTTCACATGTTGTGACCAGTAAGTAATCTATGGGGTAATTTCTTTCTTTCGCTGTTCTCTTTTTGTTTGTTTAAATTAAGGTGTAATTTACATAAAGTAAAATTCACCTTTTTAGAGTACGAGTTTTGACAAATACACAGTCAAGTAACTGCAGCCACACTCAAGAGAGAATGCACGTTGCAGCGTTATTCACAACAGTCAAGGTGTAGAAACAACCTAAATGTCCATCAACAGATGAATGGATTTTTTAAATGTAGTATACAATGGAATATTATTCAGCCTTAGAAAAGGAAATCCTGCTACATGCAAACTGCATGGATAACTTTGAGGACGTTATACCAAATGAAATAAATTAGTCACAGAAGGACAAAGGATAATTCCACTTACATGAAATATCTAAACTAGTCAAACACATAGAAGCAGCCAGTAGAATGGTGGTTGTCAGGAGCCGGGGCGGGGCCTGGGGGAGGGAAGAAGAAATGGGCAGTTTCTATTCAACGAAGTTCAGTTATGCAAGATGAATAAGCTCTGCAAATCAGTACAACATTGCACCTATGATTAACAACACTGTACTGTACATTTAAACATTTCTTAAGAGGGTAGATCTCATGTTAAGTGTTCTTACCACAATAGTGAGAGGGAGAGAGAGAATACATTTCATCATTTCCCCAAATTTGCCCTTGCACCTTTATAGTCAACATCCCCCAGCCATAGCCTTTTTGTTTTTTTTTTTTTGAGACAGAGTCTCACTCTTTTGCCCGGGCTAGAGTGAGTGCCGTGGCATCATCCTAGCTCACAGCAACCTCAAACTCCTGGGCTCAAGCGATCGTCCTGCCTCAGCCTCCCGAGTAGCTGGGACTATAGGCATGTGCCACCATGCCCGGCTAATTTTTTCTATATATTTTTAGTTGTCCAATTAATTTCTTTCTAATTTTAGTAGAGACGGGGTCTTGCTCTTGCTCAGGCTGGTTGAACTCCTGAGCTCAAACAATCTGCCCGCCTCGGCCTCCCAGAGAGCTAGGATTACAGGCGTGAGCCACCGCGCCCGGCTATAGCCTTTTGAGTGTGGTTTCTTTCCCTTAACGTAAAGCACTGGGATTCATCCATGTGATTAGCTTGCTGGTTCATTCCTTGGTCAGTGAGTAGCATTCCATTGTGTAGATGCATCAGTTTGTTTATCCATTTACCAGTTAAGAGACATTTGGGTTGTTTATGTGGGGCGATTCCTAGCACCACAAAAATATGCAGTTTCACATCAATTTTCACCTAAGGGTTTTAGCACCTTTGATGATCCTTGCCCCAATCAAGTGTTTAACTGGGAGTTATAAATGGTGAGTTTCCAATTCTGTCATTCCTTACACATTAGGTGAAATTCTTGTGGAAAGTATAGCTTTACCTCGTTGACTGGTTATCCTGAAATACTAAAAACACAGGACAAACTCTTAATTCCTTCCCTTTAAATATCAACTACCAGACTAAGAATTTGGTGCAATAATGACATCCCATGGTGACAAATTAGGATTGGTTTGGTTTCAAGAGGGGCTTTTTCTGTTAGAGCTGTGGCTCCCATCCCCCAGTAGCCTGTTAGGGACCGGACCACAGAGCTCTGCCACCATCCCTCCTCCCCACCCCCCAACCCGGGTCCAGGTTAAGGGGGCAGCTCAGGGGGTGGGGGGATCGGTGTGTGTGTGCGCACAGCAGGAGGTAATCAGAGGAGTCTGCAGAGTGAAGCTTCATCTGTATTTATAGCTACTCCCCATCGCTTGCATCACCTCCTGAGCGCCATGCTGCCACCCCGCCCCCCAGGCCATGGAGAAATTGTCTTCCATGAAACCTGTCCCTGGTGCCAAAAAGGTTGGGGACCACTGTTTTAGAGATCATTATGGACTCATGGATTTTTCACATTCAACATCTTTTGTTGAGATGGCGTCTCACTATATCACTCAGGCTAGCCTTGAACTCCTGGGCTCAAGCCATCCTCCCAGCTCAGCCTCCCAAGTAGCTTGGACTACAGGCTCAGGCTTCCTTGCCCAGCTAATTTTTAAAATTTGTTTAGAGGCAGGGTCTTGCTATGTTGCCCAGGCTCATTCAACATCTTTAAATCCACTGCAGTCCTTTTTTTCCCCTCCCATTTACTGAAAAAATATTAAGTATTGGGGCTATACAAACATGGAAACACAATTCCCATCTTTAAGAAACTCAGGCTGTTAAAAGAGGCAAATGAGTTGAAATAAAATTACAATGTAATGTTCCCAGAGCACTAACAGGAGCATCTGTGGGAATTCTGTGACAACACAGAAGAGGGAATGCGGCTTGAGGAATGAAGCTAGTATTTCTCTTGTGATTTTTTTTTTTTTTTTGGTCTGCCATTTTTTGTTTCGTTTATTCCATTTTCATTTTTGTTTTTTCTTGCCCAACTGTGGGCTACTTGAGCATTTTTTAGAATATTAGTTTGAATTATCTATATTTGTTTCATTTTATTTTTGACAAACATTAGTCGTATAAATTTATGGGGTACCATGTGATGTTTTGTTGCATGTATACATTGTGGAATCATCAAGTCAGGCTAATTAATAGATCCATCACCTCAAATATTTATCATTTCTTTGTGATGAGAACATTTAAAATCCTCTTTTAGCTACTTTGAAATTTACATTACCTATAGTCACCATGCTACGCAACAGATCAACAGAACTTATTTCTCTTGTCCAAAACTTTGCACCTTTTGACCAACATCTCCCCTTTCCCTGTCTTCCCTTCCCCCAGCCTCTGCTAACCACCATTCTGCTCTCTACTGCTATGAGTTTGACTTTTTAAAAAATACAGCATTTGTCTGTGTCTGGCTTACTGCACTTAGTGTAACGTCCTCTAGGTTCATCCATGTTGTTGCAAATGACAGGATTTTCTGCCTCTTAAAGGCTGAATAGTATTCCATTATGTATCTATACCACATTTTTAATCTATTTGCCTGTTGATGGGTGTGTTGTTTTGAGTATATTACACTGCATAGCTTTTGTAGTGGTTGTTCTAGCTATTACATTATACATACATAACTTGTCACACTTCACTGGTGTTGACATTTGATCAGTTTGAGTGAAGCGTAGAAATATTACCTCCCTTTACCCTCTCCTGTTTATAATCTTAAATATTTCCTCTACATAATCACATTGGACAGTGTGATGATTTTTGCTTCACCTGTGGAACATAATTTAAAACAGCTGAGAAGGAAAGGCTACTGTGTATCCAAATTTTTAACTCTTTTCATTGCTCTTCTTTCCTTCCTGATGTTCCAGATTCCTTCTTTCGTTTCCTTTCTGTTTACAGATGTATCTTTAGCCATTCCACTTTTTTTTTTTTTTTTTGAGACAGGTTCTCGCTCTGTCACCCGGGCTAGAATGAACGCAGTGGGGCAACCTCAAACTCCTGGCCTCAAGCAACCCTCCTGCCTCTGCCTCCTTCCAAGGTGCTAGGATTATGGACATGAGCCACCACGCCTGGCCGGCCATTCCCCTGCTTTAAGGTTAGGTCTACTAGTGACCTATGTGTTGTCTTTCATCTGAGAATGTCTTGATTTCCACCTTTATTCTTGAAGTATTTTCCACTGAATATAGAAATCAGGTTGACAATTCTTTTCTTTCAGGGCTCAAGACCATGAACGTTCAGTCCATAACACCACTCCTCTTGCCAATGAGTGGTTCAGGCATGCGCTCTTCTGTAACCCTAAAGATGGCAGGGAGATAAGGGCTCTCTCCTTTCTCTACGTGGGGTACCTGGCACTTGGGCCACCCACTTGCTGCCAGCCTGAGGACAGGGCCAACAAAAAGAGGGCAGAGCCAAGAGCATCCCAGGACTGGGAGCTAAAACTCTTGACTTTCCGCTCTACAGACAAGCTGATTCATTCTCATCCCCAGTCTGCCTCACCCTTGACCCGCCTCCATCAGCAGTTGAGAAAAGAAAATGAGCAATAGGCCAGGGAGGTCTGTAAGACACCGTGGTCTCTCTCACAAAAGCCCTGGATCTGAACTCGAAAGACACCCATGCACACACTCCTTTATACTTCTGTTTATTCTTCCTGCTCATGAAAACACGTCGACAAGTGCCTTCCGAGGGGAGGGGAGGCAGTGCTGGAAAAGACCCTCCGGCCGCTGCACCGAATTCTGCAGCGGGCAGCCGGGCAGCCAGGCACCTGGGAGGCAGGGAGAGGTCTGGCCCCAGCGTCCTAGAACTGGGGCCGCCACCTGAGGTCCAGAGAGCAGTGACTCTGCACAGGTAAGGCAGTTCCACACAGGCCTGGAACACCCTTCTCTCAGCCCAGGGAGCTCATCAGGGTCTGGGCCTGCTTCAGTTCTGCAGCGGGGAGAGGCGGACAGGTGGGAGGCAACAGGCAGACCTGGGAGGGCCCTTACCCCTCCAGGCATAGCTGAGCCTCACCTGCCAGGAGGACCTGGAACTTGTCTGTTGAGAGGGACATGGCAACAGGCTGCACCGGGGCCCCCAGGGCAGGTGCCACCTCCAGCCGCAGGTGTACCATGGGCTCTTCCACGGACTGCAGCAGGCTGGAGCGCAGGGTGTAGTCCACCCGCCAGCCCACACCTGTCAACCTATTCACTGTGAGACAGGGTGGGGTGGCTCTCAGGATCACAGGCAGGCAAGCCAGGTGGCCCTCAGTCCACCCACTAGCTCGGCCCTCGCCCCTTCAAGGCTGCATGGCTTCTAAGCAGCTCTCACCCCTCTGCCCCCGGCTTGGAACAGGGCAGCTGCTCAATACTCAGGAACTCGATCATCCACCGCGGACCCCAGGGAAAAGCAGCCTGGACTGGCGTCAGGAGAGCCAGGCCAGGTCCCCGCTCCGCAGCTGCTCGTTGTGTAACCCTAGTCAAGTCTTCTCTCTGAGGACTGGTGCTTTGCACACCCGCGTAACTTCTAGAATGGAGCCCACACTCCACCCTGGCTGGCCCCACACTTACTGCGCAGACTGCAAGCCCGCAGGTGCTCCTGCAGGGGGTTTTGCTTCTCCTCGTAGCAGCGGCACAGGCTAGCCGCGTGCTCTGCGGGCAGAATGGAGGTCTCTTGAAGTAGCAGGTGGTGGCTGGGGCAGAGGCAAGTTTCAGGCCCAGAGAGGGCAGGGCACACCTCAAGGTCACATGGCCTGGCCTGCTCTCCAGCAGCCCTTGGCCCGTACCTCACCCACCTGCCCACCCGCGGCCCGTACCTTTGGGCAGCCCCAGCTGCTGCAGTTCACTGGACAGGGATTCGCCATCGACGCTGTGCTTGGCCGCACTGGAGAGGATGAAACTCAGCACTGCCACTGTGGCCTTCACATCACCCGACTCTGGGGGACCGGCGGGTGGGGCAGGGGGTGTTACTGTGGCTCCAGCCACCTCCCTGTTGCCCTATTATCTTTGGCTCAAAGCCCCCAGGCCTCTGGAGCCAAAGGTGCTGCTGCTGCTCCACCAGGAGCTGGCAGAGGACAGGAGGGCGAGACTGTCAACGTCTTTCTTCCCTCATGCTCCTCCCCCGAGGCAGGTGGGTCAGGGAGGGCTGCAGGGAGGAGGGGGCCTCTGTGTGAGGCACTGGGCCAAGTACCCAGGGTTGCCCAAGGCCTGTGGACTCAATGGGGCACTCACCAAACTTGGCGTCAGCAGTGAGCTTCAGGATCTTCTCATACTGTGGAGAAAGGAGACCCTCAGGGATGACGGATCACTGCACAGCAGCCCCTCGTGCCCAGCCTGGATCCCGTGTAAGGAACAGGCTGGGCTGGAGAGAGAGGTGGGAGGTGTCCAGGGAGGTCGAGAGGCTGGATTCACCCCCTCCCCGGGCCTGGTGCAGCGTTTCTGGGCAGTGGGGGTCATAAGGTCATGGGACAATGGGGTGCTGGGTCCTGTACTCACGTCAATCCCTTGTCCCAGAAGCTCCTTTAGTACCTGGCTGCATAGCAGCCGCAGTTTCACAGAGGACTGGAAGGGAAGTCTTCCTATCAGCTAGACTGGCCCACCTCACCCCTCATTGCTGGGGTTGGCTCAGAGAGGGCCAGCCAGATGATCAAGGTCACAGCATGGTCGCACAGGCTGAGAGCACTGAGGACCCAACTCCAGAATGACCTCATCATCCCCATCCCCAGAATCCCCATCCCCAATGCCCCTCCCCCACCCCCACAGAGACCCCATGCACTCAACAATCTTGGCCAGTGTGCTGATCTCCGCCAGGACCCAGTCGGGACAGTCCAGATCACCACAGAACCGGAACCTCTGCAAGGCAGCAAGGCAGGTGATCAGGTGGGAAGGCGGGCTCAGGTAGGGCCAGGATCCATGTGTGCATGGCCCAACTATTGCTCAGTAGGGACCCCGGATCCCTGTCTGAGACAGACACCCTCTGGCCTCTGGTTCTCCTCATCACCAGGCTATTTAGAGAACTCACTCCCTGACCTACCTGCCACCAAACCTTGTTCTAATGCCTACTCCAGGCGTCACCTGCTTGACAAACATCACTCAGCGCCTTCTCTGGGGCAGATCCCGTTCTAAGTGCTGGGGCACAGCAGGGGGTAAAACGGAGTCCTGCCCTTGTAGACATGCGTGGCCTCTCTCACCACGTCCCCATACCCAGCCCCGGTCCCACTTTGTCCCTGATGCGCCTCGGCATGGCTTGCTCTCCTCATTTCATTCAGATCTTTGTTAGAATGACACCTGATTAGACGGGCCCTGCCTGATCAGACTTTATAAAGCGGCCCCTCACACAAGGAAATTCTGGACACCAGTGGCTATGTTCATTATCTTGCCCATGGTGATCCAAGACCCCAAAAATTTGTGGCGTTTTTTGTTTGTTTGTTTTTTTAGACACGGTCTCACTCTCGTTCTGTTGCCCCAAGCTGGGTGCAGTGGCACGATCATAACTCACTGCAGCCTAGAACCCCTGGGCTCAAGCAATCCTCCCACCTCAGCTTCCTGAGTAGCTGGGACTACAGGTGTGTGCCACCACACCCAGGTAATTTTTTAAAACTTTTTTTTAGAGATGGGGTCTGGATGTTGCCCAGGCTGGTCTTGAATTCCTGGCCTCAAGTGATCCTCCCACTTCAGCCTCCCAAAGTGCTGGGATTACAGGCATGAGCCACCATGCCAGGCCTAGGTTAGTCTTTGTTTACTTGTCCAGCCTCGCCTTTCCATAACCTCCAGATTACACTCTTCCAGCTAGCTGAAATGCATTCATACCTAGGGAGCCATGCTGGCTCTCACCTGAAGCCTTTGCACGTGCTGTTCCCTGTCTGAAGACACACTTCCCCTACCCCTGCTTCCCAAACCCTGGTACACCAACTGTACTGTACCCTGCCAGCTTCCCCTGCCCTCCCCCACCCCAAGTTGATGTCCCCCTCAGGAAGCCTTCCTAACACTATGCATAAAGTGCTGTTTGGTCTCTGCTCCTGGAGTCTTAACTAGGACAGGCAATGCAAGCCTCTGACTTCCTCTCCTGCAGCTGAAGTCCCACTCCCTGGCACACTGCATGGTATAGACTAGGCACTAACAACGTATCTGCTGAATGAATGAATGGATGAATGGATGAATTGGGAAATCCCAACACCAAAACTACTCCTTTCTGGCTCTGGAAAGAGTGAGAGGCTTCTTAACAGTGTGGGAGAAGCAGCCTGATTCTAAGCAAGTTCTTGTTCAAGTACCTCAGAGGGCTGGGGACGTGGGAACCCTTAGGGCTGGGGAAAGCCTGGAAGGTCTCCCGCTACCGACAAGCCCCAGTTCCTGGTTTTCCAAGGAAGCACCCTGGACTCTAAGCCGGCTGGCCCCATCCATCCCGCCCGCGGTGCGCAGAAGCAGGGCTGCGGTGGACTTTTCTCCACCAGACCCTCGGCCCCCACGACCGCACCCACGGCGTTTGCGGAAGGGCCTGCGCACTCCCCCTCTCCTCGCTTCCAGCGCCACCGGCGCCCCACCCGTACTACCCGTCCTGCCCCAGCATTGCCTGTCTCGCACCACCCCTCGTCCCTCACCATCGCGCCAGGAGGCCGGAACCCAGGAATTTCTTTTTCCGGTCGCGCCTGGTCAGCTGACCCGGCGATCACGTGACTCGGACTCACAGCGTCGACGAGGGCGGGGCCTACTCCGGGGAGGATGGGAGCCGATTGCTGCCAGCTGTAGGGGGCGTAATGCGAGAGCCGCCTCCT